GTTGTCGGTGAAGGCAAACAGGGGTATATGGGTGGACAGATGGGTGGACAGGCTGAACTATTAGGTATGTCTAGGAAGCGGGGAGTGTACCCAAGACCATGTATAGGGTTGGTAGACAATGGTCCTATAAGTATATTTGTATGACTGAATTCCAAGGTGTATAGTAGAGCTGACAAGGGACAAGCTTTTAGTCACTTCTTGGGCACAGCCAGCTATCCAGAGGAGCCGAGTACTTGAACCTGTAGGCTTGGGACCATAGTTGCAGAGGACATCCAGCTCAATTGGCATAACATACCACACAAAACATTGTTCCACCTACTTTGGTGAGTAGTGACTGGGATCTTAAAATTTTGCAAGCAGCCATCTAGATGCAATGATGGGTCTCTCCTGGTCCAGAGCAAAGAAGAATGAAGAAAACCAAAGATTCATGGAAAGAATTATTCCTAGTGACTGGTACACCATGTGATCTGCAGTCTATATTACTGTGAGACCAGAACTAGATGGTGCCCAGCTACCTCTATCAGCCACTTGGAGGGGATCTATGTAGGAGATCCTGGATAGAGAGGGAGAACAATATGAAACCAAACTCAAAATCATTGGGGGGTGGAAGGGGAGCACCAGGTTTATTGGTCTGATAGAGCCTGGTGGAATCACTGAGACTATGGCCCCTAGCTGCCCTTCAGGTCTGGAATTGAACACACACACCTGTGGCTTCCATCCAAACAAAGACAGGCATATGAGTTGAACATTTACCTGAGGTAGATACATTCCCTGGAGGGAACAATTATGGGAGAAAGAAGGGCTGTTTATGCACAGGTAGATAGCTCAGGGGGCAGGAGTGCATGGAAGGATGGACACAGGGAAGAGGTGACTGTTGGGAGGAAGTAGGAGGGGAGCTGTTGCATTGTGGTAAATAGTAGTCAATGTCATAAGAAAAAGTGTATGTGAACTGCTGTATGGAAAGTGAATTTGCTCTGTAAACTTTCACCCAAATCACAATAAAAAAAAATATATATATATAT